AGCGTTGAAGCCACGCCCCGCGTGTTGGAGCCACGCCCCCGAGCGTCAGACTTACCCACCACACGCCTGCTCATTGGAGCCACGCCCCCCGCGCCTAGGAGCCACGCCCCCGAGTGTTGGAGCCACGCCCCCGGCGCGTCGCAATTCACGCCTCCTGTTGCACATCTGGACCTTCACTGACCCCTGCGCTTGAGAACCTCACCTCTTGCTCCAAAGCCCCCTCGCGTTGGAGCCACGCCCCCCACGCTGGAATTCACACCTCCTGTTGCACATCCGGACCTTCACTGACCAATGCGCGTGAGAACCTCACCTCTTGCTCCAAATCGGGTCCCTTCCTGGACCCCTGCGTGCCGGAACCACACCTCCTGCCAGTCGGAACCAGGCCTCCTGCTCCAAATCAGGGAGCTTCCTGGGCCCCTGTGCATCAGAACCATGATTCCAGCTCTACATCAGCTCCCTTCCTGGACCCCTGCCCATCGGAACCGCGCCTCCTGCCAGTCTGAACCGCGCCTCCTGCTCCCAAATCAGGGCGTTTCCCAAACCCCTGCCCCTGGCTATGGGGGAGGCATGGTGCTGGGTTGGGGGTCCTTGGACATGAGGTCTGCCCTGGAGCCTTCAAACGGAGAGCTAAGACGGGCCTTTGGTGGCGGGATTGGGGCGCACAGGGAGGGGTGCGATGGGGGGCAGGGTGTCTCCGGGGCAGGCGCCTCGCCCCTGGAAATCCAAGCTGAGATGGAGATCGGATCCTGCTCGCCTATCCCATGGTTAAGGAAGGAAACAGATACAACGGGCACTGGGGTGAAGACTGTGCCCCCCAAATCCACGTCCACCCAGGACCTCATTGCCGGGGTCCATCCCCCCTGGTCCAGGTGTTTCCAAAGGTGTGGATGGAGTCGGCAAAGAATTAAAGGACCCAGGCACAGCGTTCAGACCATCAGCACATCCACCTTCTCTGTTTATTGTCCTGTTACATCTGTATTTATACCAGTTGATCCCATAAGCACGCCTCTACGGCTACATCATCATCTGTTTGGGGTCCTCCCCTGACCTCCTCCAGTTCCTTGTTTTATGTTTTTCGTTTCTTATCTGACCTTTTGCTAAAAAAATCTGATCTCTATCTTGCTCTGTAGATTTTTGTGTTGTCTGGGTTGGTCTCTGTGTGTTCCATTATAAGACCTAGTTTGTCGTCTCTGTTCCAAGGTCATTATCCTATTGTCCTACCGTGAGTCTGTCGTATATAATAAAAGCCCACTGCCTTCAAACATTTAAAAATTCCTGTGTATAGAGCTCAGAATT